ACACACACACACACACACACACACACACACACACACACACACACACAAAACCAAGCAGAGGTGGCAAGGACAGTCCAAAGCTGACAAAAGTTCCAGAAAGACCATGGTTCTATTAATAACTGCATTGTTGCTTGAGGCCCCTGTGGTCAGCCTCCCAAGATGCACCCTGCTTGCAGATCACATTCTCAACGCTCCCAAACAAGTGAAAGGGTATTTCCAAAGGCAGAATAGACACAGAGATGCAGATGGTGCCACGCCCCCAAAGGGCATGCCGAAGGCCCACAAAGCCAACTCTGCACTCAGATCTGCTACACACACACACACACACACACACACACACACACACACACACACCAACAGAATGGAGCAATTTTTCCAAGAGATGGTTGGAAACAATACTCCCATGGGAGGAAGGTCAAATCTAAGCTGACCACTGTTTCCAGCTGTGATTCTGAACAACGCCGATAGCTGAGAAGGCTGTACCACTCAAAGCTTCCTGGGACATCCCCCTATCTCCTCCAGCAGGCAGCCTATTTAAGACACTACCCTGGGTTCACCCTGAGCTCCAGCAGATCCTGCACTTCCCTGGGGCCTTTTGTTAATGACTCATATTTTTTTTTCTGCAGTATCAGTGGAGGGAGTGTATGATTTTTGGAATGGCTCCATCCTTCCCCAAGAGATTCCTTCACAATGCATAGTGTCCAAAGGATGTGAGAAGTAGGAAATACGGAAAGTTGCTTGGACTGGTGTATTGTGTGTTTCCCAACATGTGTCCTGCTGCTGAATGAAGTTAGGAAGTCCTGCAAAGGACAGATTGCCTGTCCATTGAGGTCTGACTGGAATTCTTCTAAAAATGCTCTCTGGGCTGCAGGTCACTAACAGCAAAGCTCCTCTGGGGCTCAAGGCTCTTGATACAGGCAACTGTGATACCATACGGCCTTTTGCTTTCCTTCAAAGACCCCTACTGGCAGTGGTGGAGGAAGTTTCTGGAAGCTAAAGAACCTGGTTATGTGACACCTACACAGTTAGGAGGAACAGCACCCACCCCCGGTCCCCCAATGAATCTCTTGGGAAAACCAGCTTCCCGTTTTGTGTCCTGTGAGCCAGCATTTTCTGACCAGGCTCACAGTATCCGCCATCTGGCCCAGGATTTCATCTGCAGCGCCTTCCTGGGTGGGCAAAGAGAAACAGGAACTGAGTGACGCACCAGTGGCTGACATGGGTGGAAGGAGAAACTGGCTTCCTTTAGTTCTACCAACAAAGCAGAGGCAGCTGACTACCCTATCCCCACCAGCCTACCTCTTCTGAGTGGGATGCAGGACTCAAACCTAACAGCCTAGGCAGCTACAATATGGTGTACCCAGTCAAGTGGGTACAGAAATTGTTTGGGGTGGCCAGGCCTTACAGATGAAGTAAGCTAAGCACACAGAAGGAGGAAGTAGACACCCTTTCCAAGGTCACACTGGAAGGACACAACTAGACTGGGACCTGAGTCTTTCCCACCTAGTTCCATTGGGCTAGCGGCCAAAGCTGAGAAGTTGATTGAATTTCAGCTCCCACTACAGGGCCTGAATTAGCTGGCCTGGGAACTTTTGCATGGGCGAATCCAGTTTCTATGGATCCCATACGGGATGACTAGTTATCAATGGAGGTTAACCCATTTAGGGACTATAAGAAGTTTGTTCCTGATGCTAACAGCATCTCAAGAATGGCTTCTATAATCTAGTGGGCACTGAGAGTGGGTAGAAACTACCCATAACCCTCCAGAATTAGGATGAGCCTGAACAGGTACCTGGTCACACATGGGGCCATGTTACTCTCTGCTTTGATGGGCTTTCTATTCTTGTGGATATTTAATACTCACTATTAATACTGTCCCCCCCCACTATGGATGCACAACTTTATTTCCCCCCAAGATGTTGTGGACAGCCTAGAAATTACATGCACCATACTGTGCTCACTGGGGACCAGAAATGCAGTCCTGGCTAGAGGTGCCCATGCAGAGAATGAAGCACAAACCCTTGATGCCTCTCCACCTGCCTTGTCTCTCATCAGGGTTCCTGTGTCCAGAGCTACATCCATTATCTCCGAACAATTTTAGAGCCTTTGTGGGTGGGGGACTCCCCTGAGAAACTTCTGAGTGCCCCGTGCATCGCTGTTAACTACACCTGACTGAGAAAGTGACTGCTTTCAGCCCCGACAGCAGAGCCTGAGTCCTTCCCAGAGCTGTTCCAACACCCAGGTCCTCTCACCCACCACTGAGTACAGCCTCCCATTTGCTAGAGTGTCCCCATGTGTGTTTTTACTCAAGTTCGGCATCGTTCCTCTCAGAAGGATGTGCCAAGGCCATCTCTTACCAATCTGGCAGAGCCCAAAGCCCGGGTATCCCCAAGTGCAACAGGTAAAGTTTGACAGTCATACCCAGCTTCCCACCCTGCATCCTGGTCCTCACATTCTGAGAGTCCTGGAATGGCCAGATGCTCACCAGTAATTCAAATAAACCAGAGCCTCAAGGATCTTGCAAGTTGGCTCACATTTTAGTAATCCTTAGGTACCTCTAGGAACTGCCTCAGTTTACAGCAAAGGTACAATTGAGCAAAAGGTCCACAACTAAAGGTCTGGTCTTCCTAGGCTATCTTCTGGTCTTTTCTTTCCACACTTTTCCCTTTGGCTACGTTCTCCATTTTTGCCAGAGGAAAAATTATTTTTCGAAGAACGTCATGGACACTTTTTAGCAAACGTATATAGCCTGACTGACTTTGTGAGAGGTCCAAATTATAGAACGTCCTGCTATACAGTCACTAAGAACTGCCTCGGGCCCCTGAAAAGCTGTGTTCACCAGAAGCAAGGCAGAGCCCCAATCCTCCAGGCATGCCAGCCTGGCCCTGGAGAGTGAGCAGGTCTCAGTGCAGGTCTCCAGACTAAACCCATTCTCCCCACAGCAGCATGGAAATTACCCGAGCATGCATTCGACACACAAACGCTCAAGCTTCTTCCTGGCTCTTTTAATTTAGAAACTCTGGGGTAAAGACCAGGAACTCGGTTTGTCCTCATAGCTCCCCTCCCCAAAATAGAAATGCAAGAGCCATCCGTGGCAAGTGGTGGTTTGTTCCCTGCACCAGTCTTCGGTGCTGGGTCATGAACTTAGACTCCTCTGGCCCTACTGACCACACCTAGCCATCTGTTGGTGTCAGTTTTAATAATTATACTTGAGCCACTCAGTTGCTGGCCCTTTCCAGAGACCCCTACAGTGGGCAGGGAGAGTATGCAACTCCAAAGGCACCCAAAGCTTGGAGAGACTGTAGGGGAAGCCCCCATCTCCTGCGTTTGATCGTGCATACCTACACAGCACAGATCTGGGCTGGAGGGCTCTCAAACTCACGAGTCAGAAACTCTCCTACACCAAACTGCTCAACCAGCCCAAGCCACCCATCACTGCCTCCTCTTCCCAGCCTACACAGACATACTGAGACTACGGGACCCTGAGGTCTCTTGACATTTCCCTTTAATAGAAACAGAACCATGTCACCGTCTCTGTACACCTTGCTGTCACCCTGGGAAGGACGGTGGATACAAAGGTGGGTACCTTCTAGTCTGGTCACACTGAAGTGTCGGAGCTTAGGTACCAGACACAACAAAACACTTGTACTGACTGAGACAGGTAGGAACCACAGAAGGTCAGCTCGAGAACAGATTAAAAAACAGTTTAACGACAACAATAACAAAAAGCCTAACCTTGTACAGAAAGTATGGGAAAAAGAAGGAGAAAAGAAAAAAGGAAGGAAGGAAGGAGGAAGTTAGGAAGCTGTAAGTACGATACAGGTAAGATGTTTGTCCCTCAGTTTCCATGGTCACCTTTTCCATGACAGAGAAGAGGCCACAGGCAGGGTGGAGTACTTGGGCACTGTGGGGGCTTACAGTAAATTCACAAACTATAGGCTGGTCAGACCCCAGGAGACCCTAGTTCCCACTCAAAGTCTTTCCCAAAGGTGTGAGCACCCTATCTCTGAGAACAGAACCCTGTCACTCCGGCCTCTCTGTCTCAAGTTATGATCTCTTGCCTGTTTCAGGTGAAGAAGAAGGCTTTCAAGATCCTGACATGATCCCTACCCCTACTCCACCCATGCCCACATACCCCTGCACAACTGCAGTAGCTGGAGAAAGTCTGCCAGCCCAGCCTCTATAAAGGTCCCGGGGCCACAGAGACCTGCACAGCATCAAGCCAATCAAACCTAGCTTTAGTGTCACAGGTAGGGACCCAGAGGCTACCTGAGGCAGGGAGGAGAAAGGGGGCTGCTGCCTGACACCAAGCCATCTGCATGTGACCTGACTGGATTTTGAAAATTACCAGGGAGGTGTGTACTCGGATCCTA